TTCATTGTTAAATAAAGTTATCTTGAGAAAATTCGACACAAATATGCATTGTCTTTATATGAATCACTCTACGAAATTTTTTCCGGATAGGCTCCCATAGAGGGTCCACATACGAAAATCAATTAAACGCATATATTTCTTTGAATAATAAGGCTATCGGGATGAAGTACGATTTGAATATGTTTTGTGAGCATATAAATCATTCTACCAAATTTTTTCCGGATTGATCCATATATTGTAGTAGCTCCTATATAAGGTCCACTTCAAAAAAATCACTTAAACGCACATACTTCATTATCAAATAAAGGTATCTTGATAAAATTCGACACAAATATGTTTTGTGTAAGGTCATAGCTCCTATACATAAAAAGTCCACTTCCGAAAATCACCTAAACGCAAATATTTCATTAATTAATAAATCTATTGTAGTAATCATTATACTAAATTTTTTCTTTATCGGTTGATAATTGGTCACAACTCCCATATAAGGTCCATTTCCGAAAGTTACTCAAATGAACTTGATAATCAAAGTTATCGGGATAAAATTCGACATAAATGTTTATTTTGTATATATAAATCATTCTACGGATTTTTTTCTTCCGGATCGGTCCATAGGTTGTCTTAGCTCCCATATAAGTTATACTTCTGAAAATCACTTAATATCACTTAATTCGTAATTAAATGATTATATCCGGATAAAATTCAAAATGAGTATGTTCTGTGTACAGATATATCATTATATTAAAATGTTTTCAAACTGGCCTATTAATATACATTTTTCTCGACCTAATTAAAATTAGTTTGACATATGCATAAATGTTAGTACCCTCAATAAGGAAACAAAAATTTCGCCAAGTTATCTAAAAATTAGATAGTTAAATGGGTCTCAATGAAAAGTAGCTTGCTGGTGGAGGGTATTTAAGATTCGGCAGAGCCGAATATAGCACTCTAACTTGTTTCACCTTTAGTAGCATTTTCTTTTAATAGTTTTTATTATTTTAAAGACTAATATTTAAATGGACTTTTATCGGAAAATATTTGTTGGAATAATAGTTATCTTAAAACATACAAATATAAAAAGATAAAGATCCTTAAAAGGCAAATTTTCGGTTTTCGTTCATAGACTTTTAAATGTCACGTTCGTCACGTTGAAACAGGATTTATCCCAATAACTTTTTAGTTGGCATTCAATTCAATTTAAAAGAAAAAAATTAATTCTAAGCGGGGTTATTTTTTATAGAATTTCAAAGTCTGTCACATTACATAAATGTTCTCAAGTGCAACCTTCGAATTGTGAAATATTGTTATTTAAAAAGATGTGATATTTATGCAATTTATTCAATTAGGTGATAGTTATTATTTTTTAGTTGGTAAGTGGAAGAAAAAGCACAGAAATTCAACAAATGATCTTTTTAACCCTTAATAGCCTGATTTTTTTGTTTGAGCGGAAAAAAATTAATGTTATAAAACTTACATTTCTAAGCAACTTTTGTTCTACAACTTTGTTCATATGTAGTATTTACCTGTGTTATGTGAAAAATACCTGGTTGGTTCCTAGAGGAACCACCAGGCACCCGGACTTCCAAATTATAAATATTGTAAAACGTACTTTAAAGGCAATAATGAGCAATTTCATTGTTAATGAAGATAATTATATTGGGATATAAATAAAATATATAAAACAGCCCTTTTCTGATGAAAAATATGATTTTATGCGACATTTTCGACATCGAACTTTCGTTAGGGATGAATAATTTGGATTTTTTGATCGCGTTATGCCTTATAGTATAAATTTTGGTAAGAGTATTATGTGATCTAGGTGAATATAGCTAGTTGGCAATAAACAGAGATTGTACGCCGACGTTTCGAAGCAATTTCAACCCCAAAATTGTTTGGTCGATCTTTTCCCACTCGAATTTTAACACAAGATTTCATCAAGCAATAACAGACTACTGGCAGAAATGCTATGCTTCATTTTAAAATAAATCAATCAAAAAATATCAAAAAAATATCGATTTATATAATCTGATGTATGAAAAAATTTGAAGTCTGGGTGAACCAACCAGAAATTTCAAAAAATCCCACTAACTAAAGAAGTAAAATCACTTCAAATACCTATTATTACAATAATATTAGGCAACGATCCGTAAAATATTTTTTCTGTTTAAGATTTTGTCGATTTATAACTGAAACTTTTTGTCAAAAGTACACAATATCACAAAAGAAATTTTTTTGAGGTAATTGCATTCTTTTGAACCTGGACAAGCCAAATGAAACTTTATTCCAATACCGATCAAAGAAATTAGTGCCGCTTGCAATTAAAAACATTTTAAAAGTCATAACATGAAGTTGACAAATATATAAATAACAAAAAACTTAATTTTTATTGGTTGGTTCCTGGCGGTACCACCAGGCTATTAAGGGTTAAGTAATGTATGGAAAAAATTGATTTTCGGATATCGGCTTTATGTGGGAGTTATGACCGATTATTGTATTATCTTCAGAAGGGTCAGTAATGTGGGAGTTATACATTTGAACGTTTTTTGTGTGTTTCTATTATCAGGATGGCGAAACTTTAGTTATGGGTATATCAAATGTGGACCAATTTTTAAAAAAATTAGGTTGAACGATTTTTGTGTATGTCAAAATTATTTGTGTTGAAATTTATGGTGATATATGTAAGCATTTTTAAAAGTTTTATGTTAATTAATGTTAATTCTTATATTATTCTTATACGGGAGCTATTTTCAACTAAAATGTTATTAAATAGTCGCAATATTTGTCCGATTTCAAAAACTTTCAACAATGTCCTACCAAAATAAACCTAATCTAACCTAATTAATTTTCAATAATATTGCAAATTTCATCGTTGGAAATTTTTGTCACATCACGTCATGTCACGTCACACATAACTACTTGAACAAAAAAAATCTGAAAACAATTTTTTGTTTCTAAAAGCTGAAAAACAATCAATAAATATTCCAAATTACAATAGAAAAGGGTTTAACCAAATAGCCAGGTGAAACTCGCAGATTTTTACATTTTTGTCAAAAAAGAAAAAAGCAACTTCTATTTCTGTCACATCACGTCACGCACTTTAACTACTTATATCTTAGGACCATTAATATATATATATATATACCATATATATATATATATATATATATATATATATATATATATATGTGTTTATTTGTTTGTGGGTTTATTTGTTTGAAGTCTATAGACGGCTAAATGGCTGGACCGATTTTCTTCAAATTTTAACAGTACCTTCCTGTATATCTGGAAGAAACAATAGGTTACTTTTCATTTTAAAATTTCAAGTAGGCGAGGTACCACGCCTACTTATTAAATAAATATTAAAAGTCATATATCTTGGAAACTGGTACAATTAGAGTCCTCAAATTTTGCACGGACAACTTTGACATCCATAAGAATATTTTTGGACAAAATGGGCGGATTGACTATAGTGGGTGTGACACTTTCCATATTAAGAAAATATTAAATCAGTATATCTCGGAAAATGTAACAGTTAGAGCCCTCAAATTTGGTCGGAGCCACATAAGACTTAATATGATTAGTTAAGATAAAAAGTGGGCGGACTAGCAGCAGGGGGCATGGCACCTCCCATATTAATTAAATACACAAATTCGTTTATCTTGGAAACTATTAGAGTTAAAAACTTCAAATTTTGCACGAAGAACTTTAGCATCCATGCAAATATTTTGGGTAATAAATTGGCGGACTACCAGTGGGGGGAGCGGCACCTCCCATATAAATTAAATCAACAACATATTTTATCTAAGAAACTAATAGAACTAGATTCCTAAAATGTTGCAAAAAGGACTTTCATATTCATCTGAACATTTTGGGGGAAATCGCAAAGTCGTAGTAACCCATTTTAGATGACCCAATATGTTCTTAATTATTTCGCAAATGGTTTCGATAACCGCGGCCCTGGTATGGATAGTATATCCAAAAAACTAAAAAATTTAATTTTTGGGATTTTTAAAAACTTTTTTGGAAATTGTGTGATAACTATTTTTTCAGTTTTGCGTTCTCAATGAGAAAGTCTATATAACTGTAAAATTTTGTTAAAAATATTCATAAATAGACTTTTTATTTAAATTTTTGTCTTCGTAAAAATTCAACATGACTGCGTATTAGACCAACAGGATCTTATATGGGGAGAAAAAAATGTCGGAATCTTGTTCGTCTGAACCCCACAAAACGATACTGAGATAGCCGAAGTTTGCTGCCTGTATAGCAGACAAGTCTAAGTTCATTCTCAGTTATTGACCCTAATCGTGATTACCCAGAGTAAAGGGGACACCGCGAAATGCCCTTTTACTGATAGTTATGTTCCTCAGTATGTTAGATAATCCAGTTACGGAGTGCCCGGTCAACATGAGACTGGCCAAATGTTTGGATAAGAGTACAAGTGTACACGTCGTATAGTTTGAATAATTCAGTTATATAGGGTATTGGGTCAATGCGGTTTCCACCGATTTTCCCTTTATGTAAGCATGCTGCTTATATTTGAGATGTTTGACTGTTATACTGCTTTTAACTATGAATGACGTGATGCATATCGGTCGATAGCATAGCTAGATTTTCCGAATGTGGGAATAAATGTATATATGCGAATTTCAAGTATGTAGTAAATATCTTAGAAAGGTGAGCGGAAACTAATTCCCTCTTCATCTGTAAAAATGCCTAGGAAATACCATCCGGTCCTACAGTGGTTCAGTGGCCAGTGCATAAAGCATCCTATGCTTTATGCAAGATTCAAAAATTTCCCAAGCGCTTCTATATTTAAGGTGAATGAAAGTAGGTGAAATAGATATGTTATAAGTTTTGTGATATTATGTCTGTTCATAATGTATTTCAATTCAAATTTCAAAAATTTTTCTAAAAATGTTTAACAATTAGTAACAGCTTTCTTTTTTTTTAATTTAAAAAAAATCTTTTTTAAGCAACAATATTTCAATATTTTATAGGTATTTTGACATCTCAACAACAACAAAAACAAAAACTCTTTGGTAAAATAGATCAAATGGTAAATATCACTTGAACATTTTATGGTAGTCTTATACTTATAAATTCATATATATTTCATTAGCTCTGTCATCAAACACTTCAACAGCATCCAAACCAAATCGGATCTGTGCAGACTCAGCAAAACCAGTTTATACAAAATTCAACAGGTGATGACGACTTGGGTAAGTATATGGGCATTTCCAAAATGTCGAACACGCTTCTAGCTTTAATTACCCTTACAATTGGTGCAATTTTTAATATTCAAGATAATTGTAAAAAACTTAAACAGGAGTTGTTTTCTTATTGAACAATTCATAATCCGATTTCAGTCAAAACTGAAATCGCATTGCAATGAGACTAATTATACCCTACACCACTTTAGTGGGGAGGGTATATTGGATTTGTGCTGATGTTTGTAACACATAAAAATATTCGTTCTATACCTATACACCTTAAAGTATACCAATCGGCTTAGAATCATTTTCTGAGTCGATTAAGCTATGTCCGTCTGTCCGTCCGTCTGTCCGTCCGTCTGGCTGGCTGTCCATGTAAACCTTATGCGCAAGGTGCAGGTCGCAATTTTCAATATTTTTCGATGAAATTTGGTACACGCACTTTTTTGGCCCAAGGACCTATTGAAAATGGTTAAAATCGGTCCATTATTTTACCTAGCCCCTATACAACAGAAAACCCCGAAAAGGGCCTTTAAGCTCATATTTATGTTAAATATCTCGATGGAAAGCAGCACAAATAAGTTTTATACGAGCTTTGATGACATTGCCAAATTTCATAAAAATCGCGCCTCATTTGACCCTAGCTCCCATACAAAGTCCCCTTCAGAAAATCACTTGAATGTCCAAAATTCACATATACACACTAATATCGCGATGAAATCCAGCGCAAATAAATATTATATAAATCTATACACAAAATTTTTTCGAGATCGGTCCATATTTGGCCCAAACCCCCATATAAACCATTTTTCAGAAAATTAGTTTTTCGTCCATAAATTGCTTAAATGTATCGGAAACAATGTTGTATTGAAGATAAAATACTTTATTACAAAAAAATAAATCACATTTAATATTCATAACTGGTGTAGGGTATCATATGGTCGGCCACGCCTGACTACTTATATTTTCTTACTTGTTTTAAATTGTTGTTAATTGATAACTCTTTAAAACAGTTTTAATTTCAAATCTAGAAGTTTAAAATAATTATTCCATATTTTTAACGAAGTTTAATTTCTTAACTATTTAACTTAAATTTTAAGCAAAATATATCTAGTATACCATAAAAGTATTTTTTGCCCACATTTTTAGTTTTGGCAAAAAAAAGTGGTCGTCTGAACCATAGTGCGTTCCTAGAAACTAGGAGCGGTAACAGAAATTTATACCGAAAATGTATATTTCACCGTGCATCAATCTTTTAACCAAGTGTCCCTTCTATCGATTTTGGGTTTAAACCACAGCCACTACGTGCAATACACCAAGATGGGATCTATTATCATGGAAACATGCCCCGAGGGAGAGTATTTAAGACAAAAAATCCTCGGTTTTTCTCCTTTTTACCCATTTTGCAATTTCGTGTCATGTGACCCAACTAAAAAATCGATTTGGATTGAAAAAATTGTATTCTTGAGTTAAAAAATATTTTTTTAGATATCCCACTCGCATCCCATTGTGGGACTTTAAGGCCCTTAAAGGAAATTGTATAAGCTTTCATCTGAGCCCAAAACGGAGTTTTTTGAAAAAAAATTTAAAACAAAACTATTTAAAAAAATTAAAAATTAAAAAAAAATTGGAATCAATGGAGAAATTGCTATCTGAACTCCTTTGGGTAATTTTTGCTAGGACCAATAGGTGAAAAGTTAAACTAATTTTAATAAAACCCTGTATGACCAAAATATCAAACTAAGTCCGTGCAAAATATATAAATATTTTTTGTTCCGTCCATCACATCTATTTTTTTAGATTTTTTTAAATGTTTTATATTGGGGAATTTTAACATTTTATTTATATTGTATGCATTTAACAGTCTTTAAGTCGAAACCGTTACCGGATTTACTCGTTAGAATTTAGAAAAAATATGTTTATCCAAGGGTGTAAAAAAGGGAGTGTACTAAATCCTAACAAGTATCAAATAATCAAATGCTAGATTTTCCACCCATTGAAACATATTTAAGATATGAGGCGGGGCTTACAGCCGAACGGCTCTTTCCTATAGGCGAACTGGCCAAAAGCGGTTATAGGACACGTCATCAACGTATACTGGACACATTGGAAGGTTGTGCACATTCATCGGACGTACCTGATCGCGAAATTGAGCGTACGTATTCAGACGAATGTAGAGCATGTGGAGAGGACAGTGAAACTCTGGAGCACTTTCTTTGCCACTGTTAAGCATTCGTCGAAGTTAGATCCAAGTATCTTGGAAGTGATGTTATTCCGGAAATAAAATTCTTGACAAACACTGATTGGAAAATTTTTAGGAATTACGTCCAGGAAACTGAGTTTCTGAACATTGAAAAATAATATACTCAGTGAACAATTTTTTTTCATGAAAAGGAGCTACGTACTTCTCTCATTGTAGAATTGTTTTAAATCAGACATTTACTGGTCCTCTTAAAGAGAGGCTTGGCCAGAAATGACCCAACCAAAAATGGTGTGTTGAGCCACTGGGAGTCCCGGGATCTAATGAATTTTGCCTTTTAAAACTTGTGGAGCTATTTTGGGACCAATGACTTTATCGGACACATTAAAACTAGGGTCTGCCAATTGCAGTCCCTCAAAATGGACCTTAACCGAGCCCGGTTAACGGTGTTTTAATGCCCTGCATTTGTATTTCCTTAACAGTAAACTTTATTTGTTGCGTCGTGTCATATTGTGAGCAAATATTCACTCGGTATATTTTGTCTGCACCAACAGTGGTCACGGGATTTGCGACTAAAAAAAACTAAAGCTGCCGTACTCGAATGCTCTTCTTTGAGCCAAGCAACAAAACGGTTGCTGTTGGTGAAAATGACAAGACATGAAACAACGGTAAGTTTGGTAATTGGTCGCTTCATAACCGCGTACGTGTTTGTCACTTCCTGGATAAGTCCGGACTACTCTTCCCATTTTCCAAGAAGTGGGTGTTACTTTCGGATAACTACTAAATCTCCCGTTATTATATCGCGTTCCGGATACTTCCACTTATAACGTTTGAGAAGTCCTATTCTTCTTTCCATCGACGACAGAAGTACTGGCCTTTACTTTTCCGATTTAGAAGACTTAGCGGAGATTCGTAAATCGAAGGTTCAGGTGGAGCTAATATTGGAGACCCTATTAGGAAATGGCCTGGCATAAGAGCCGCTATGTCATTAGGATCGGCACTCATAGAACAGAAATTTCGAGACATGCCTCAATTCTAGCGATAACGGTTGAAAGTTCCTCAAATGTGTATTTGCGGAATGGGCTTCTTTACGGAAGTGAAGTTTAAAATTTCGGACTCCCGCTTCCCATGAACCACCCATATGAGATGCTCCAGTAGGAATAAAACGCCAAGAAAGGCCGTTGATACCGAACTTCGAACACATCCTAGCCCTACATTCCAATAGAAATGTTTCTACGATCTATGATACATCGCTTATACCGATTTACAACAGTCCAAACAAGGGCTTCGCACGAGGAATCCAATATTCGATTCGTATTATCCGTAGCATAGGTTGATTTCGCTAACAGGAGAGTAATACCCCATTAACACATACACGAAATCTAGTACTTATGAGATTTCGAGCCAAATCTAGTTGATTTTAACTAGATTTCCCATACAAAACAAAATCTACTTCGTAACTAGATTTCGTTGAAATCTACTCAAAATCTAGTTGTTTTTAGTAAAGCAACTCTGTTTTTTCGTAAATAATACTAAAAAATACGACGCGGCACAAGAAAAAGAAAAAAACAAAAGAAAAAAATAAATAAAATGTAAACAAAGTTTTAATAAATTGAAAAACATGAATGAAAAGTTTCTTTAAAATAGAAGGTAATGTTATACATATTTAAATATCAATTTTTTTATTATAAATAAAATTTTAATAAATATCCCATTTCTCCTTCTTATTTTTCATATTAAACACAATTTCATGAAATATTAGCAAAAATGAAATCTTTCTAAATGCCAAAAATAGTAAGTGTAAACGGTCTAGATTTGTAAGGAGATTTCGTGTATGTGTAAATGGGGTATATAACGACATGAATATGGCAATAAATTAGGATGCCTTTCCGTGTAAGCCAATAAAGGCGATCTAGCCAATCGACCGTTAAGTCTCATGACATCTTCATTGTCAAGCATTGGAGTTAAGGGCAATAGGCTACTTTTAGAAGAAATTGGTCTTTTTTCTAATAGACTCTTGTATTCTTCCGCAAATTTTACCTTTTGAGTCACAAACGTAGTTTCACATGTCTTATTTCAAGTGACGAAAACCTATCTAGCACATTCTCGTAATTTGTAAAAAAAGAAAAGATTTTACATTTCGAGCTTCGAGATCAGTATCAAGCATAGGTAGGTTTTTCAAATTCCAAGTAGACTTTTTCTCCCTAAGCCAATGTGGATCATTCCACCAAATCCGCTGGATTGTCCGCAGATCTGACGTGATGCCAGTTATGTTTGCCAACAATTTTCTGTATTTTACAAACTCTATTTGCAACAAAAGTTGCCCAGGTACAGCGGTATTTTTTCAACTAAGAAAGGACGAAGGTGGAATCAGTCCAACAATAAACCTGATGTAGTGGAATGTCAATTTCACATAGCACAGACTTCAAAAGATCTGCCGCTAATACAGCACCACAAAGTTCAAGACGAGGTAAAGTAACCGATTTAATCGGGGCCACTTTGGTCTTACAAGTGAGCAAATGTGAATAAATTTTTCGTCTAGGTTTTTTCAACCGAATATCACCCCCGCATATGCCTATGGCATCAGAAAAAACATGGAGTTCCACTGAGGATTCTTGTTCATAATGAACCCATCGAGTAATTTGGATACTATTGACTTCGTGATATGAAGTCACAAATTTCTTCCACTCGCCAGCGTTGAAACTTTAAGATTCTCATCCCAATTTATCTGATCCTCCCAAATTCTCTTCATTATCATTTTTGCCACTACTATAGCAGGACCTAACCAATTTATTGTGGATAATACTTT